TAGGCAATGCTTAGGGCCGTGCCTGGGATCCGAACCTGTGAACCCCGGGCCGCTGAAGTGGATTGCGTGAACTTAACTGCTACGCCACCAGGCCAGCCCTGAAAGACACCTTTTTATATGGTAGATTTTTTTAAAGTATTCAATCAAAAGTCTGAGGAAAAAAATTATGAGTTTTTATGAGATCAACAGCCTGCTTGACATCAAGTGTCATAAAAATGATGGCTGGCCGAGAACACCAAATGGTACCACTTAAATCTTTACTAGGCAAGATTTCTAAGTTTATACAGCTCTTTCGATTTCATTTCCCATCCTCATACTAATATCCTATAATACTTTTGGCTATCTATCTTACAACTGGCACCACATCAAACACTCAAAAAAAACCTCTATTTTGGAGTTGCAGGGGAATAAGAAAAAAAAATTTGCTTTGGAGTTTCATTCACTCATGTTGAGGTTGATGCTTATCATCATGTTTGATATGTGTGGACAGACTCATCAAGGTTACAATGAATAGCTACAAAACCTTTAATGGGCCATCCATCCTCTTCCTTTTACAGACAACCCCTCCACCATGTTTAGCCTCTTGGGTTACATAGCCTTGGAGGTATTAAACCTTTTCTTTCTCCTTCCGTTTCTTTCTCCTTTACCTAAGATTTAAAACCAACAGTAGTTCTAACCAACTAGAGTATACTCTAACCCTCATCAGTGGCTGGTTTTCTTTTTCACTTCCTTTTCACATAGGTACCACTATTTGCACTGCTAGGATATTTTAAAGTTCAATTCTTTTAGCAGTTTACAATGAAATCAAAAAAGAGATTCAACGGGTGGAAAGGAAACAAAATTCCCTTTCAAGTTAGTTGTTTTTAGTTTGATCAGTCTTTAGATCCATAAGTCAGAAAAAAGTGAGGCAACTTGATTTATATTTTGGGGACATTTTCTTGGGGGGCGGGGGGTGTAGACTGCTACAAAGATTTTTCTAGTGAATGGAAAACTAATTCTGCTGACCAATAGACAACCTGGTATCATTTCACCATCACAAGTACAAAAACTAAAACTACTGAGGAAAAAATTCCATTATGCCAACACTCTCAAGCCCCCACTCAAAATTACAGTGCAGTGCTGTGTGAAAACTGGTCTTATTTCCAAAAAACACTTACTGGATTCCTTTTCTTTGTGTTTTCAAGCTTTATCTGTACTGTGTGGTTGGCACCTAATCCCTCTGAATGTATTTCCTTAAAGTGCTTGAAAATAAAACCGATGCTTTGCCTTCTCTGCCACATTGCAAAAAGAGATGTTTTTATTAATTGGATCATTTATATCTCTTATTATTTTTTCCTCAAACTCAGCTTGGAAACCAGAACTTAACTGCCAATGTGCTGGAGGTAAATGCTTCACAGACACACAGACAAACCACACCAGAAGCCTCTTCTTCATGCCCTCCTTCTGTGGTACCATTTAACTGAACCACCTTCTCATGAGACAGTGGCTCCAGCCCCGCATCACTTATTCTGCCACCACCTGCTGATGTGGGGCCCTCACACCTGCACGTTGTCTATATAAACCTCCTCTCCTTGCTCCTGACCCTCTTATCCACAGCAACGTCGCAGGATCTCTCACTACAGACTTCTTCTTGGGGGAGCACTCCTCCCGCTCCTCGAGCGAGTCCTCCCCAGCCATCCCAGATGAGCTGCACATAGCTAACTCTGACACCACTGACCATTCTGAAATACCTCCCAAGCCTGGATCAGAGGTCTGCCGTGAGAGCTGGCACGACTCTAACCACTCCTGCTGCCATACATGTGTTTATTCTTCCTTCCTTTGCCTCCATAATTTTTTAACACATCTCCAAAGGTCAAAAGGACTGAGTACTTGTCTGCCATCTCATTTTGCTGCTGAGCATTGTTATTCGCATAGGTGTTGATTATTAGTAAACCAATTCTTTCCAGTCTACGAGGGAAATCCATTACAGTCATCCTCATAAGCCTACTTTGGGCTGAAAAATTCAATTATATTCTCTTCATTCATTTTAGAGTCAGTTATGTTTACACTGTGTCGCTCTAGCTAATGAGGTGTACAGTGACTTGCCTTAAGAAGTTATCTGAGAAATTTAGCAAAGTATACATATAATATTATGATGGTTAGATTATAGAAAGAGTCTAAATTTTTCAAAAATTTTAACCCAGTATTAAATCCTGGTAAATAACAGTTTACCTCAGAGATTCATTTGAATGTGTCTTGTGTGAATAATTTATATACCCTTGTTTCTCACCTACATGATTACTGACTGCATGATGCTATTTCTTCTTGCCCCCCATGCACTAACAACTACTTCCTTTGAACCCATCAGTCTTACAGGAGTGAATGATGTAAATAATCTTAATCTACATTGCAGAAATTCAGCCCTATCATGTTTGGGGAATTATTTTTTCTGAGCCATTCCAGTGTAGAAATTTATGAATACACTTATTATTTTATATATTAATCATTTATCTTCCATTTATAGCAATATATAAATATTTCTCATGCATATTATATCATTTCAATGTCCATATGACAAGCAGTCCCTAATAAATGATTTATGAATGACTAAAATGCTTCAAAATTTTATGGCGAAGATTTTCAATTGCATACAGTGTATACATAATGGCTTCAATTTGAAAGGCACATAACTTTAGGGGAAAAAAATGGAAATTTTTTTCTAAAATTGATTTTATAATGATGTTCTAAATAAGCACTGTCATAGACAAAATTTTAGTTGTGCTACGTAGTTTAAATGTTATATCAAGGTCATAAATCTGCAAATTTCATGCATAGAGAAATATTATAAGCCATATGTTTTTCAAGATGTTGCAATTACAGTAAACAAAGGATACTTTTTATTGGATGGGATTTAGTATTCATTCAATGGCTGGGTATAAAACTTTGGACTGAAATGTTCTATTGAGTGACTGGCTACAGAAGGAGCCTCATTTTCCAGGACTAACACCACCCAGAGCCCCCCAACACCAGTGCCGGGAGCTCGGCAGGCATGGGTTTCTCTGTGTTCTACTATGCCTTCAATAGTTCTTAACTTTTAAAACTTTAAGGAATGTTATCAGAGCCTTTAATTAAAAACAAATCAGTGATAGTATATCAATTTATATACTAATCTATTTAATTTTCTGTTTTTAAGACAATTTAGGAGCCTGAGAGGTATACATATAGTCTTGTAGGTGCAAGAGTATAACTGCAGCTGAAATTAGTTTTAAGTAGCAGTTTAAATTGTGCATAGATTTTCCATGAGATGATTTTCCTAATAATTAATTCACTATGGCAATAAACTATGTCCTGAAATTCTAATGGTGTTATTTCATTAGTGAAACCCAAATTGGTTTAACACAAGGAAAGAGTAAATCTATTAGCAGTAATTTTTTTTAATACATAATCAATATTATTGAAAGCATCAAAATAGGATTCAGGGCAACTTTTCTAAGTTTAGTAACATAGTAACTTAATGGTTTTTAATAAGAAGAATTCCCCTGCTTTTAACGGAAATTATAACAATAGTATTAGAATTATATTTACAAAGATCAACCAAACTTGATTTGGGCAAGGAAGCAAAACTATTCTCAAATAATTCAGCAGAGGTACGCAAGTGCTCTGTAGCATTTTGGTGGCCAGTGCCTCACACTTCTTTGCATGTCCGGTGCTCTTCAGGTAGAAGAACCTAAAGATATGGTTGCTTATGATATGAGAGTGATTTCTATAACAGCTTAGAGAAGTACTTAATCAACAAGCACAGTTAATATAATGAAATGTTTATTGACCTTAGGACAGATGTGGTTTGACTATAAAGTAATGAAATTGGATTTATTCTAGATCATTTGAAAACATATCTGCTTCAAAGTGAAAAATCATGAAAATATGCAATTAATTGTCCATCTGTGTTTCAGTCTGGTATAATAGAAGTTTACTTTGTTTTAAAATAAGTAGAAAAAGTTCACAAATTATGGTTCTTTATCTATGTGCATGTGTGTGTGTGTTTTCAGCTGTAAGGTCATTTTAACTAAATGCTCTTACTAATGTTTGGTCTCATTCGCATGCATTATGTAATCTCTACAATGCTCAGGGCTGTGTTGTGGATAGATACATATGCTTAATAGTGGTGAGCTCAACCTCTATGAACTAAGCTGATTCAATTCAATTAAAATATGTATCTTTCTAATATCTACCATGTTATTAACAACAGGTTGCATGTTATAAAAAATATATATATAAGAAGCATATACATGACCATCTCCAACAAGAAGCTTGAAATAACACTGGGGATATAAAATACTCATATATAAAGCAATTAAAACAATAGATTATTAAGAAACCAAACAGAAGCCCATAAAGTCCTAAATGAGAGTGGAATAAGTAAAAGCCTGTGGTTTAATATGTCTTTCTGATGCTCTGCCGGGTATCTGATTCTTCTAGAATAGACTGCTTCATGATATATAAATCCAAACAATTGTGTTCCTTATGTTTGTCACCTTGGCCTGGAAACATTTATTCCCCAGAAGATATCCCTGACTAAGTCTGAGAACCAATCCTTTTGCTCATGTCATAGAACATTCATATCGAATCCCGCATGTAGAGCAGCGTGACTGTGTTTTGACTTCTTAAGTCATGAATGTAAGAGCAAATTCGCCCCCCACGTTTATTTTATACTGACTCCTACTGATACATTTTGGCATCTCTGTTGGCAGAGTGGCATGTGCACTAGTTGGTTGCTTCCATCCTTCCTAATCCCCTCCTGTGTCCTCTGACATATAAGAGAGTGATTTTCAGAAATAAAGGAAGATAGAGAAGACACTGAAAAAAATGTACCCTATCTCTCTAGACACCAGTTTTCAATGTAAATAGAAACTTGACAGCTGATTACTGTCATTTGAATGCAAGTCTCTTATTGTCATCTAAAGGAATGATGTTTACAGGGGACTCTGTGGTTTAACGGGATGTCTTTACACTTTTCTCAGAGCCAGATAACAGTGAATGGAAGCTCTGGAGGGGCTGTGAGTCCAATGAGTTACTACCAAAGGCCATTTTCCCCATCAGCTTACTCTCTACCAGGCTCACTCAATTCCAGCATTATCATGCAGCATGGCCGGTCGCTTGGTAAGTCATTTGATAGTCATGATTTTCATGACCATTTCAACAGAGCAAGTACAAACCACATGAGAAAAATATAAAGCATCAAAGTAATTTTTTAAAAAGGAGGCAGAAACATTCGACACTCTGCTATTCAATGACCCTATCCTAGGGGAGGAATTAGGGACTGCATAGATTCAACATTGTAAAAAATAGGCACCCAGCTATTCCAAGATGATGATTGCATCTAAATCTGAGTCTGGAGAAGGCTATTAGATGTTTGGGGTGGTGGAGTAGAAAGAAAAAGAAAAAGATGGATAGTTAGGGAGATAAGAGGTCACAGCACCAGGAAAACATTCATATAGTGCGTTTCTATGGATGGCAAATATTATCCATTTTCAAGGCAGCACATTCTTTTGTGGAAGAGCTTTAATTGTAGAAAATTCTTTTGCTGTATATTTGGAGGAACTAATTAACAGTTAGAACAGTCCAACAAGGGGACAGGCTGTCTCACAAAGTAGTAAACGCTGAACTACTGCCTCACAAAGGAGTGAACTAATCTAACTGAGGCCAGAGACCATCAGTCAGGGATGTGGGTTCCTTTAAATGATAATTCCAGAATTTTATAGAGAGAGTTCTTCAATCTTCTGGAATTAGGAATTAGATGAAAGATATAGTTCTCCTCCAGACAAAAAAAAAAGGAACATTTGAACATTCATAAGAATTTTTAAGCATACAATTTCATGGGGCTCGTGAACTCTTTGAAGCCTCTTGGCAAAGAAGCTGCACTCTATAATGATAGAAACATTTTTAGGTGGCAAAAGGTATTAGACGGTTTAGAAAATAATGTAATAAATATTTCTGGGTTTTCAAAAATGTAAAAACATAACCCAAAACATTAAAGAACAGACCAAATCGAACCATCATCTGAATTCAAGCTGAAAAAGGTTCCATGATGTTGAGCAACTGGCAGGCTTCCAGGGCAGCAGGCAGCAGGGAGGAAGGCGGAGGATAGGGTGACCACGGCACATCTCTCAGAAAAGTAGGAGAGGAGCGATCCTCTGACCACCAACAACCAACAACAGAGAGAAAGAAACTAGAACACACAGCTTTAACTCCAATTTCCTCTTTGGCAGCATGCACACACCCTCTTCCCCAACACTGTCTGTGTATTGAAAGAACATGATGCTACTAGTCTACCCAGGAACATTTTATGTCAACATCCAATACATGCATTGTAGAACTCAACTTCTATAGTCAACAAAACCTGTAGAACTTAAGACTTAAATATAGTCTTGAGACTCATTAAAGGAAAGTCTAAATATACCTGTGCCTTCTCTAATGCTGCTCCTGGGATCATCTGTTAATCTTATAATGAGGTCTTTTTAGAGTGTAAGAGAGTAGAATGTCCTTACGCCAAAATGTTGTCCTTAAACAATCAGTCCCTAGTGTAGTATTATAATGGTAGTCTGTTATATCTAGATTTTTTTATGGAGCTATGCATTATCACACATCTATAGTAAAACTCTACAAATTATTCTAGCTATAATATTTTCCCACGTAATTATTCATACAGTCTGACTGTCTCCATTGCCTGTCTTCATGAACACAATTTTGTCCCTCCTACCCTAACAAACAAAATATATAAATATTTGAATGTAGACAGGCTTTTATGTTAGAACATATCAATGGGTAAATTTTACATATAAACTATACTACATGGAAAGAAATTCCCTATATAAACATGGAACAAATTCCAATTGGCCAGTGCTGAGATAGGTCCTGAGGAGAATATATGAATCTTTCCTGTCCTAGAGGAACTTTATATTTAGTTGAGGTCAAAAGACTACAAAAATGAGAGTGGATCATATCAGAGAATAATAAAAGGCTGACGTGTTATATAAGCTATAAGTTCATAGAATCTTATGAACCATAAATAAAGACAGAGTTAAATACTGTTTGCTTAGCCTGGGACTTGGCAGATACCAGGTGCTCAAAAAATATCTGTTGCTTGATAGAAATACTAGCATCCTAGTTGCCCACTCAAATCATTTTTGGAGTTAAATGGAAAATCAAGGTCAAATATCACATTGTGTCTTAATTTGGAGTTTCCTGGAAAAGAAATTTTTACATACAATGGCACATAAATCAGTCTTCTTCCTAACCTGATTCGTTCTCCATCAGAAATGGATTGAAACCGCTTTTCTGTTGCAAACTAAATTCAAAATAGCCCTAATAGTAGTAATAGCAGTTATAAATGTTATAATGGATGTTGGCTTATAGGAGTCTTATCTCTACTTATCTTTATAATGATGTGTAAAATTTTTTTTAAATCTTACTTATGAAGTTTTATATAAATTTGCTACAAAAAACACAGTCATATCTTTAGATAGATATGTATCTGTATACATACATAGACACATAGGTAATCAATCAATGTTATCTAAAACATTGGGACTTTAAATATCCACATAAAAAGAGACCTTTCTGAGGGACAGATCTGACAAACCATGGCAAAGAATCATTCTTGGTCACCAGAATTTTGAAATTTGTTGTAAAAAAACAAGAAGTCCTATTATCAATTGTACATGATAAAGGTAATAATGTTGATTTTCATAAATATCTGTGAACTAAGAATAAGTAGAACGTATAGTACATATGTGTCTTCTCTGTTTCTTATGAAAGTATCCTAAAAGTTAATAAAGATGGCATGAAGATAGGAACATGATAAATCGCATCTAATTTACATGCTTAGGGCAATTTTTATACTCAAGGGGTTTGAAGTTGTAGTTTTTGGTATTTTAAAAGCAAAGATATTATGGCCATCATGATGACTTAAATAAAACTTAATACTAATAATTTAAAATCATTTATTTACCTATAAGCCTTCACATCCAAGTATATGTTTGGATGTGAAGATTTCTTACTGCGATTTTTGTTTTCACTTTATATTTATGAAATCGCTGTCGTAGACTCAACAGTCATATCTTTTGTCCTAAGAGTACATTTCAGTACTTGTAAATAATGGTAGTCAGCAGTTTCACAAAACTAATATTAATTATGACCTGAGGGAAATTATTAAACTTGTCTCAGCTTCTACCCCTCATCTATAAAATGGATCCCTCCCCTTTCAAGATTACTAAAAGGATAAGATGAGATAATGCCCGTAAAGTGCTTTCTTACAGTGGCTGCCACACGGCCACAGGGTCTTTAAATAGATGTCATCCTTCCCCTCGTCTTCTTTGTAAAATGATGAGGATATTTGTTGCTAAAGGTCTATTCAATATACACCTACATGTTAACAATGAGCGGTTCAAACTGAAGGTAAATGAGTTAAAAGAGATAGTGATGAAGACTCTGTGTTACAAGTTGGCATAAATATACAAAAGGCACTATTGATTTATGATTCCTTGTGCATCAAATATATTATATTTCACCCAATTTTCTCCACAGATTCCACAGACACATATCCCCAGCATGCACAATCTCTGGACGGCAGCATGGGCAGCTCCATACCACTGTACAGATCCTCAGAGGAAGAGAAGAGAGTGACGGTCATCAAAGCCCCGCATTACCCGGGGATCGGGCCCGTGGATGAATCTGGAATCCCCACGGCAATTAGAACGGTATGAAATGCCAGCATGCGCGTTGCTCTGGGGCCGTGCACAAATTCCACAAAGGATGGATTGTCAATGGCTTTGTGCATTCCTATGGTCTTGTATAATGAGGATTGCCCTCTGTGCCTTCTGAGTTCTCATGAATGTTATGCTGCGCATAGCAGAGAAAGAGAACTGTCGATTGGAGATAATTACACAACCTGCTTTTCCATTTCAATTAAAAATCATGAAAATTGTGATTTTGTTAAACAATAAAAGTATGTTTTGTTTTGTTTTACCTTTTACCCAAGGAGTGTCAGGGCAATAGAGAGAAAAGAGAAAGAACAAGGAAATGTGAATTCTTTGGCTGCATTGAATTCCCACGTGCATTGCAAATCAACCAGAGATGTGTTTCTTGAAATGGATGTGTGTTAACACCAGGAGATTGGGAGCTGTGAATTGGGAGTTGGGAGGTGCGATGATTGCAGTGAAGGGAGTTAATGCCATGGAAAAGGAAAAACTGTCTGAAGAAAATACACATTTTACTGTCCATCTTCAGCTGTGCCTGCTGAGAGCTCTCCCGGGGATGATAAGTGAAAGTGTTTGGACTTTTTTTTTTAGTCTTTAAACTCTGCCAAAGCGTTGCGCAGTGTGTCAGGGCAGCCCCTTCTGGCAAAGCTAAGCAGCAGCAGAGGCAGCCCTGAGAGTGCGGGCCGGCAGCTTGCTGCCCCAGTCCACTTGAAGAGGAGGTCTGTGCTGGCCGGCGAGGAGGACTAGGACAACCAGGATGAGAGCAGCAAGGCCTTTGCAGGTGAAGCTGGGCGCAGGGTGAGAATGGAGCTCAGGCTGCAACGGAGCTCACTGTGTCTGCAACACCCACAGAACCGGCTGGGGGGCTGGGGCGTTGCCAGGAGCTGCTTCCCCGGAATGCAGACCTGGGGGGCCAGAGACAAGAATAGTGGATAGAGGAAAAGAATGAGAAAGAGCAGGAAAAAAGCAGGTACCATTGGAGATGCTCAAAAAGAACTAATGATAAAATGTGGGGGTTTTCTTCTCTCCTTGAATTCGCATTTATCGTGTGGGGCTCCTGTGTTCTATACACAGAGAGAAGAGTTAAAAATTGATCATTCCAAGCATCCGTATTAGAATTGGAAGCCAAAAAGTGAGTCTGTGTAGCAGTCACTGGGTTTTTAGACTCATTAGATTCCGGGAATGTTGACTGTGACTAATTATAAAGTCCGCAAATTCTATGTTGGAACTGATGATTGTCATATTTAAGTGACAGAAAAACTTCAGGGATTGTGACTAACGTTCTTAATCTTATAGCAACTCTATGTTTCCGGTGATGGTGTTTTGTCGTTTGTTTCCCTTTTAAGATTTCTGACTCAAAAGGGTTAAATTTGTATTTATTTCCTAGTGGAGGGATAGTATCAGACAGGTATGGTGTCAATGTTTATATTTAATTGACCTTTGAAGCATGGTATTTAGATAAATTAGGCAATCTCAGATTCTACGTAGTTATAGATTCTGTCTGAAAGAATTTTATCTGAGACTCTGGGTGGTCTATCACTTATTTACAATAAATGATATGTAAAAATGGACATGCAAAGCTGGACCATTTTTTTTTATCCAGAAGACATAATTTTCTTAAATAGTAAGGCTTTCCTTGTTAGTTTTCAAAAGGAAAAAACTGAGATGTTATAGATGGTTAGTGAAAATCAAGTAATATTAAAATTTTTATATTATTTATCTACTGCCCAATCAAAAGCATGTTTAGATATGCATAAGCAAACACATATACTAAACCTTCAATGCTAGTTTCCTTTCTATAAAATAGAAAATAAAATATAAACAACCCAGAAGTTCCTTATAAGGAGCCATAATTTTTATGTACAGTTGTGCTCTTATTTAGGCTTTGAAAACTTTACAAAGAAGGTACCGGTTTGGGAAGACTCTTGTTCACATTTCCTATTTTTCAGCCTTGCAGAGCACATCCCCAAGTATAGCTGTGTTTATAAATGTTGAGTCAGGCCGTCGCTGAGCCACAGCAGCCAAGAATCTCCAAAGGTTGTTTTTCTTTCTCGTCCCAGTAGAAAGTAATGATTATCAGGCTCAGATTGCTTTACCTGGCCTTTCTGCTTGGGTGTATACAGCAAAGGCAGTACTGTCTTCATGTATCGTGTTATGGTCTCATTTCATGCAACCAGCATATACCAAAGAAACAGAATTTTGCAAAGTAACCTCGAAACTCTAGAAAGCCAAGAGTCAACAAATGTACCTTTGAGCTATTTGAACAAAGCTAAGCAGCTCCCCAGCCTGTTCGCCTCATGTGACTGGGGACGTCTGTTAGCCTTTTACTGCCATTCTTAACAACAACAAGCACTAGGGTTCAGATCCCATGAGATTGTCTAATTAAGGCCAGCTAGTTATGTGAAATACAAGATTCTTTTCTTCTAGTTCAAATATAATATTGTTTGAGCATTTTCAAACCTTGAAAGGGGCAAAAACAGAATAACTGTATAGTGGTGTGTAGAAAATATATGTCTTTTCCCTTTTTGGGAATCTCTGCATGATCAATCTATGTAGAGTTCTGATGTTTTGTAAACTATAAGAATGTAAAAATTCAGGTATATTCAGCCAAGTTTCTAGAAAACAACTGAATAGTGAATTACTCGTAGTTACTGTCCGTGCAAAATAATTTTGAAGGACACATACAAGAGTAAACTTCCTCAAATTTGAGTAGACTTCTATTTACTTCTTCTCAATGGTAGCCATAACAATCTCCATGATGGTATTTATAAAAGGAACTTTAAATGCTTAGAGTACTTCTTTTAGAAAGGGACATAGGGTTTTAGTATTTCCTTTTACCAGTTTCATATTCCTCTTTGCCAACCGACCGGGCATTTCCTGGCATCTCTGTGCTCACCATATAAAGCTAGCAGATGGCAGAACTGAGATCCTGTCTGATATGTGCCCTCCAGCAAGTGAAGAAAACAATCCTGTCTGTCAAGATACATTGCCATGTACAGTGACATAACTTACTTATTAGGCTTCCTTGTTGCCATTGGTTACGTCCAGGTATGGCTGGGAGACACTTTTGCATGTAGTTCTGTCTTATCTTCTGTTGCTGAATACTCTAAAGGAAATAAAGCTTAATGAAAGAGAAACCCATCTTTTATGAAAATAAATGTCACTTCAAGATACATGTTCAACTACTTTGTTTAAACCAGCAACTAATAGCTAGACTCCTGCTTCATCACAGCACCCCCCCACCAGCTCCCCCCATTTGAATGTAAGGTCAATCAACAATCTCCTCAATTTTTCCATTGTAGAAAGAGCCTGGAATGAATGAAGAGGTGATTCACAAAAAGTCAAGTAGCCCTTAATGTTAATCTATATTTATGGTGATTACCAGAATCAGATATTCTTAGAGATCAAACTAAATTTAGATATAGCACAAAATGTTCAATTTCCAGATGAAAAATGCAATGACCACATTTCTGAGAGAAAAATCATGGTATAAAATCTAAACCAAAGCTCAGTCTAACAAATACAAGAATATTTTTGTGGCAGTCGTAACAGAGTGTTTTATATCAAGAGAACTGTCTTGAAAAATCTGGTATATTTAGTGACTATACACAGAATGGTTGAGTTTCTTGCCCCAGTAGCTCTGGAAATGTTGAGATAAAGATCTTGCCAAGCAAAATCTTTAATTTTGATTAAAAAGTGTACATCTACTTTCACAGGTATATAATAAGGTAGCATTCCATCCAATAACCTGGATTCATTCATTATTTTATTTGATAAATATTTGAAGTTCCCTACTGTTATTATTTATTGAGTATTTCTTATAGTTTAGGAATTGTTCTAGGCCTTTTGTATACATTGTCTCATTCAATTTCCATAACAATCCAATGACAGTTTGTTATATAAGATAAAGTTATTTCATTTTAGAGAGGAGAATCCTGAGGCTCTAAAACGTTACCTCACTTGCCCAAACTCATATTGCTAGGAAGCAGGAAACAGTTATTAAACGAACCAAGATTTGAATCTAGGTTGATCTGACATTAATTTCATCTTGCCACTACAGCCCACTCTTTCTATCTTGTCAAAAGCCTGGGATGCATAAGGAGCTTCTACTCCCAAGGCACTTAAAATTTAGCAAGGCAAATGTTGCCTACATTTTCTCATCATGTTAAAAAAAATTTGAAACAATGTCTACATTTTTAGATTTGCTCTAGGACCTTAGATTGTTTACTAGATTCAAAGTTTTCATAACTTAGACTAGCAAATATTAAATTTTTATTCCTCTAATTGTAAACTGATGATCAGAAAACAGTTTGAGTCAAAAATATTCCCTAGTTCATTCTAAAAATAATCTCTTGAACAGAACATTCACTAAAAGGTTTTTAAGGATAATGATAATTGTCACCAAAAGAAGTGAAGCAAACTATTACAACATTATAACTTTTATTCAGTTATTTTTATATAAATATGCTTGTGCAAATATCAACTATCTAGTGCTGGGCACAGCTATGATCTGGAAAAAATAAAACCACAGCATAGAATGTTCCAATTCTGCCTAAAATCAAACAAGGGTAATATATTTGCAAACTGCCTGCATTATTGGATACGTTACTGGTATTGTCATCATGAAATAGATTTTTTAATCACAGAACAGAAGTCTGATATTAAAAAAGATAAACTATAGAAAGAAAAACGTTGAGGAACAATGTTTATTTGGAACCAGTTTTGTGACTATTTGGATGTTCTCTTTTGTAGACAGTTGACAGACCAAAGGACTGGTACAAGACAATGTTTAAGCAAATTCACATGGTGCACAAACCAGGTATGTGTGTTGTTATGTTTTCTGATCAAGTTCTTGTGGGTTGAAGGATGTATATGTATACTCCCCTTTGCACAGTTTTGGTCCACACAAAATGTGAAGACTCTAGCAAACTTCAAGGCCCTCCCTCTTTCTTTTCAACATTCCTCTTTGTTCTAGTTACATCACCCCTCAAATCACAGACACCTGTGCTCCTGCCTCAGCCCTAAGCTGCCAAGAAGCCTCTTGCAAGGTGACCCTTGGAGGGGTGCCAGGTGTTCTGCTCTTATCCCTTTGTCCTTCCCTTCTCACAATATAAACTGATGTGGCATATTGTGTACTTAAACAGACTCATTAGTCCTCTGTCCACACAAGTCTGCTCCTTATCAAGAAAGTGAGCATAAGTAGGTTTCACTGAGTTGACAAGAAATCTTTAAAGCACTTACTTAAGGAAATTCATGATCCAGAAGAGACGGCTGCCTGGGGAAAGGAGGAAAAGAGACTGACCTTGTATGCTGTGTAGAGGGCAGCAGAGCAAATTTGTTCCAGACAAGAGCGATCCATCTGCAGAGGCACAGCAAAAACAACAACAATTGAAAATTTAAAAAATGGTGTTATGAACTGGGCAAAACACATTGGTTTTCTAACAAATTTCTGTTGTTTCTCTGAAGTTCCCCTGTCTTGTTATGCTATGGTGACCGAATCTTTATTACCATAATATTTATGTTTCATTTTCTAGATGATGACACAGACATGTATAATACTCCTTATACATATAATGCAGGTAGGACGGGTTTGCTTGCTCGCAATGACTGTTGTATGCTCAATCATGCTTGGAAGAACTTCACAGTGACTTTTTCACCACTCTGAGTGCATGTTTTCAGTTTCTATGATTAAGAGGATGCTTTTTTCTTTTCCCAGAGCATGCGTAACAAAAGGATTGATCTTTTCTTATGGAAATGAGAACTGATACTGTTTTATCTCATTCATTCCCACTGTTAGTTTATTCTCAGCTTCAGGAATGTTTAACCCAAGTGTGAAGGACAGCATGAAAGACATACGGGAGGGGGGGAGTATAAAATAAGATAAAGATCTCCTTTTAGCCATAGAGAGAGAGATTACAGTTGCGTAAGATCTTTCAGATAGACTTCACGGAAAACAAGTCAAGCAAAGTATTTCGTGACCTGTCCACGCTTTTGCTTGAAAATGCAACCATTCATTGAAGGATTTTTAAAAATCTCACTTTGCTCGGCCGCTTATCTGACTCAGAGTTGCCCATGGTCGTAATGGAACGACTTCAATTCCGGGCATTTCACTTGTATTTGAGAGCGTTGGTACTTTGTGAAGCGGTTGCAGGCTGGAGTGTGGGACCCCTAAAAAATATTTCCCGTCATTGCTTTCTCCTGAATGTCATATCAGGGGATCCCACACAGGGCCTCCTGTCACTGCCCGGCCGGAGGCTCGGGGCAGTTGCACAGTGTCTGGTTTTCCTTTCTTTGGAGTAGACTCTGAAGCTCAGATTGCTCACCCCCCTCCAGCAGCTGCAACCTCATGTAGGGGTCCCCCTGACAGCCTGGCCTCAGAACTGCATGAGGTTCTCCCCTCCTTGATGCCCAAAGGCCAGCACTCAAGGCCTTTAACCGTCAGGAATTCTGCCACTAGTCTCCAAAGACAAATAGAGGAAAAAACGAGCAGAACAAGCTTAGCAAGACGCGAGACCTCTGGTTTTCCATCCTCGCTTTTCCAGATGATAGCAGGAGGCCCGCTAAGATGTTTCCCTCAACTTTTACCTGGACACAGGTAATCCAAACTCACCTCCTGTGTTTAGCCTTGTTAAAAAACAAAAGTCAACTGTGTAAATTTTAAAGATCTTATTGGCTTTATCCAGTGATTCATGAATCGAGCAGCATCCTATCTAGCAGATAGAAAGGAGCTCCAAGGAGCTGTACAAAATGAAAGACTTTCATAAGCAGAAAGAAACAGGAACAAGGAAGTTATACTAGGCAAAAAAGCAGGTCGGTTATTGCAAGATTACTTTCCTTAGGGGGTGGTGGGATCTATCAGGCGGATGACCTAACCAGTGCTGATCAAGTGACTCCTGATTGACTGGTTTAAGATTCCATTTCTGGGAGAGCCGAAACTGTAATTAAGTTAAGTCTCAGTTTGGAAATGTGGGGCTTGTTTTTAAAAACCTCTGAAGTTGGAGTCTGACTGTAGAATTGAGGCAAAGCAATAAGTGCAGACGTTGGCTCTTTATTTGTCATGGCAATTTGCATGGACCTTCAGCAGAAGCAGATGAGTGAAAATAGCCCTAGCTCAAAAGATTGAGGATGTGAGAAATTCAGAATTTTTATTATTTTTAAGATTGAAGTTTTGTATTCATTAGTAATTAGTAAATTGAATAGTAGTTACATATAACCTTGCAGAGCCCTCTAGAAGTTTTACCATTTAATCAGTAGACAAGGTGAATGCAACTAGTCTTCTCTTTCTACTAACCCTACATCCCGCTCTTCTATGTCTTGCACTTTCTGCCTCTTTTTTTTTTTTTTCTATGGCATCTTTGCTGCCCTCTTCCCTCTACTCACCCAAACTAATCCTTCAGGGCTAACTAGTGCTATCAGTTCCATATCTTCTCTAACCAATCCACCATCTTCTAAAATCCTTTAATTCCTAATATATATTTTCTTCACTTGGACTTTATCATATGTTACCAGTTATTTTCAATCATAATTCTATTTGTGTCTCATTTCCCCAGATGCGCTATAAGCTTATTGCACAGCACATATATAACTTGCTCAACATTTTGTTTGCTTGCAATTAACATGTCAATTATCACATGTAAATCAGAGCTTTTAAAGTAATAAAAGATAATTGGAAATAGTTCTGTTAAATATTTTTAATCTTCCTCTGAAACCTTAACTATCTTATTAGTTTATATTATCCAGGAGAAAATTTACTAGTACTAGTAATTCTTCCTAGTACCAGTCTGAATTATTACTAATTCCAAAATAATTAACAAAGATTTACTTTAATCAGTGCTTGCATATAGAATACATTAATAATGAATTAATATATTAAAAATAATAAATTCATAATATTAATAAACCAATAAGGAACATACCCTCCAGTGCATGCATTGTGAATATGCTTATTGATAACAATTTTGGTAAAACCATCGAATATTTTGTGGGGTACAAATAATTCAATGCACTTTTAAAATGCTATTTGCTTCTGTTTTGTTTCGTTGTGTTGTGTTTCATGACAGGCCTGTACAACTCACCCTACAGCGCTCAGTCACATCCTGCTGCAAAGACCCAGACCTACAGACCCCTCTCCAAAAGCCACTCTGACAATGGCACTGATGTCTTCAAGGATGCTCCCCCTCCCATCCCTCCCCCACATGTTCCTCCTCCAGTCCCACCATTTCGATCAAGAGATCGGTCTTCAACAGAAAAGTAAGGCATTTTCCCCAAAAGTGGCCTAAATTTAACTTAGGATAAAAATAAGGCTGCATGGCATTCAGTAGAAGAATCTGTGCTTACCTTACCGAGATAGAATAGCTTACTAGTCTTACACGTGTCATCTTATTAGTCAATATATGTACCATGTTGACCTCCTCTATTGAGATTGTAGCAAATGCTTTCACAATCCTAGTTCATCATATCATAGTGACCCAAGTTAGACCTGAAGTAATATGGGCACAATCTCTACTTTTTGATCAATAGATGCATATAAGAAGACAAATATGTAGAAATAATTGACATGTACTCCCTTTGGCATAGAAAGGTCAGAGACTATGCAGTTGATTTTCAGTTTCCTCAGATTTGAAGTGTTAGGTCTATAAATAATTTAAAATTTCCCCTCTGATCCACAAAAATATCTCTTTGAGAGCAGGGAAGGTTATTCATAAATCATAAATAAGGCATTAGTTAATGTGTCTGTCTGTGACTCATTTCCACCAGCTTTTCGAGATGATAGTAATTTTCATTTCCCCACTGAAATATTTTTATAGAGACTGTGCACACAAAAATAAAAATTTGTAACACGCTTTTATTGTGCCATTTTTATTAGGATTATGACTAATAATCCTCCTTATAGGTAACCTCTATTGAGAGCTCACTGTGAGCTGAGCAAGAGGCTAAGCATGTTTCTTGTATTATATCATTTAATTCTGAGAACAACCCAATGAGATATGTTCTATTTTAAACCCATTTTAGAGAGAAAGAAACTGTGGCTTAAAGAATTAAAGTAGCTTGCTCGGCTCATCCAGCTAGTATGTCCAAACCAGGATTCAAACACAGCTCTGACTAAAGCTATAGCTCATGCTATACTGGCAATTAACAAATAAGGATATAAGAATTATTCAATATTAATACTGGTTACGAAGCATCCATCTATCATATTCATCCCAGAAATATTATATTCAACACCCTATTGTACCTTTAAGAGTAATTGATGATCTTATAGGGTGTAAGATACCACAAAAATAGGCACAGGTCATGTGTGAAGAGATTCTCATTTTAACAACAATCTCCTCAGGATGAATTATATGTTTATAAGTGTGATGTCTTAAATTTGAGAAATAATTGTCTAGACACAAAATAGTATCTCTGCTATTAAAAAAAGACCCAAAATTAACTCAGATTTAAATGTATTATTTGTCCTATGTGTTTAGCGAAAATAAATCTCTCACTAAGAAATATGATAATCCCTTAAAAATTTCTAGATGGCTTTCATATACATTGTCTCATGTGGTGTTCAAAATACCTCTGCTGAATATTACTCATCAATTTACTAGAAAGCCAAGACTTACCCCTAATTCTCCTGTCTCTTAGAGCACTTCTATTTCCAATATGCCATGGAGTCAGAATTTCATCCCATTCCACGAAGTCAGAATTGCTCTCATCCATAGTCAGAAAATTTTTCTTCCTCAAAAATGGTCCACCCAAAGGAAGCCGCCTTCTTCAGCCCCAGCCACGTAGAAAAGCTTTATTTTCTAAGTCCCTCCTTGACTGTCTCTTGAAGGATATTAGCTCAGGAGAAAGAGCTGATTCCAAGGTCTCCTGTGCAATGGGACAGATGCCTGGCTCTGGTTTTTCAAGGGTAACACCAGAGGTGGATCTCCCATCCACATGACTTGCTCCTATGGATGGTACCCCCTGTGGTGCTTTTGTACTTTTCACAGACAAGCTATGTTGCCACTTGTGAGATAAACAAGATCAAACATGGCGTGTGCATTACTCCTTGTCACTTTCGATCAAGGATGCCAGGTCACAGAGTGGTGGGATAAATTCACATAGCTTAATGGAGCATAACCGCCACTTATTCTAAACACAAACATACACAGCTGCCATTTGTGACCCAAGGGTTTACTAGCAGATCAGTGGCTGCACATCTAGAAACCCCTTATGACTTTTTGAGCCAGCAGGAGTATAGTCATTGTGAGGAAAAAAATAGAGGAAAATATAGTATGAAATCAAAGAAATGGCTTTCTTTAAATCATTTATGCAAAACAAAACATAAATGTGCTATTGGCTGCAGATTAACTTTTTATCCTCAGAGACCTTTTAAAAAATCTATACTGAAATTAACTTTGAAAACAGATAGTGAGTGGTTTTATATAACTGCTTTAAGCATAGAGGATTATGTTAATATGTAATCTGTTGTTTATTTCTAGGCATGACTGGGATCCTCCAGACAGAAAAGTGGACACGAGAAAATTTCGTTCTGAGCCAAGGAGTATTTTTGAATATGAACCCGGGAAGTCATCAATTCTGCAGCATGAAAGACCAGTAAGCACTTGTCATTGAACAGAACGCCCGTCCTCTAGGCTTCCTGGGTTCCCAAATAAACCTGAATTTCATATCGTTTAGAATTTTTTATCCCAAAGGTAATTTATTTATTTGGCATTACTTAGAAATCATGTTTATTTTGTATCACGATCTGTGCGTCTTGTCTCAGAATTGAAGATGCACTCTTTACTATATTGTCCCTACCGACTAAATATAGGACTCATTTGTATGTAACTATGGCTGTGCCTAATTATGGCCCTGAGTCTAATTAAAAAGAGCAAAAAAGAACACTCATAAATGCAACATTTAATTGCTAGTCTGCATTGCTAGTAAGAAAAATCATTCATTAATCTTTCTGATACAAATGGACCCAGGCAGTTCTATCCTTTGGTTTCCATACTGGTTGCTTAATATTTCTTTTGGGGAAATTTTCCAAATGCCTTTTTTATAACAAGTTGTTTTAATGGATTCTTATTAAATCCCCCTCAGGTTACCAAGCCTCAAGCTTCCTGATTGATTGTCAATCTAATGGATCAAGATTATATTTAATTTTGCAGTATTTTTTCCAATTATTTAATTATATGCAAACGAAAAGATATATAAACTTGAAAGTAACCACTTGCCTCCTCAAAGTGCAATTGAACACATAGGTTCTTCCTTGGCCCTCTGTTTTTAGTCCCCAGTCCCTTCTGAATCCTTTGCTTTCCCTCCTAAATCAGTACCCCCAGGATCTCTTTGAAATGCTATAATTTCTCTGTATCACCAGCAAAACCTGCTTCTAGAGAAACAATTGATGTTATTTGCAATTTCCTCTCATCCTTATCTTTAGAGGATGTTAGGTGTCAGTGAACAGGAAAAAGAATTTTCTTTATTAGCTCCCTTAAGAGTATCCAAGAAACCACATTATTACATATAATGCAAGGCCAGCCCTGAAATCTGATCAGAAACCCTGGCCTCACCACGCCCAACATGAGTGTCCTTGATTTAGTTTTTGAAACCCTGTATTTATGGTTATGTTCTTGAGAAACATGTTCAAAAACTTTATAATCACATAATTCATACATGATATTTATCTAAGCCTTCTTTGCCTTTCTTCAAAAAACTCAGATCTTTTAGAGTAACAAGACTTCACCAGAAAAAAATGAAAGAAAAAAAGAAGAAACACCACTGATTTGCAGGCTCCAATGCAAACTTATAACTCATTTACTAGGTTATTTGATTGAATATCATGATACCTTGAAATTTCTAGGATGAGAATTGAGTGAAACATGATGTCACTATTGCATACAATCAAAAATAGCAAAATAATTTTGCAAAATAGTAAGTCTCAGATTTAAGTGTAAATAACAAAACTTTACTGATCATCTTACCAATTTATGAGGCTCTTAGGATGACAAACCTTGTAATTATCTTGGAACGCTTTTAGCTGTGGTGTCAGGAAACAGCATTGATTTTAGAAGCTTTCCCATCAGGATGTTTTTATTATTTACTCATTCAACAAAATTAATTGAGCACCAACTATATGCCAGCCATTCTGTTAGGTGCTAGGGGCACAGTAGTGAACCAGACACAGACTCTACCTTAAGGAACTTCGAGTCTATCCTTTAATGGATACGCAGAGCTAGATCTGCATTTGTGTGAAGAGACAACCTCCTTGTGGTTAAGATGGAGGCACATCTAAGGAATCCTTCCTTTGCCCCCTCAGGAGCTCATTCCTGGGCCCTGTCATTATGACTGAAATTCCCACATTACTCATGTCTTTGCGTTAAAGCTTTGAAGGCTCCTAGTTTAAAAACAGCAATAATAACAATAACCATAGTTGTAGATCTTTATCAAGCACTGACTATGTGCCAGGCCCTGTAATTAGTAATTTATGCCGTATCTCACGTGATGATCCCAACGACCGTATGAAGTAGAAAATGGCATTCCCATTTTACAGCTGGAGAACCTAAGCACAGATTAGGAAACCTTGCCCAGGTTCACATAGCTGGTGGTGGGTGCTGGACTTAGGAGCTGAGCCCAGGCCAACTCAAGCCTGGTGCACTTAACGACAACTATACTGCCACACCACCAGGATTAGCTGAGTAGGAAACACATTTAGCTAGTAGTCATTATCACCTTAATTAGTTTATTTGATTTTTTTATTATTTTGCAGTGTAAATTAGTTTATTTGCTAAGTTATAATAAATTACTGTACTTGATTTACTTTACCAGAAGCCTGTGCCCTAAGTAGTTAAGACATAAGAACAGTATACTTAACTAATTCTAAGAATATGAAGATCTGGAACACTGGTACTGCTGGAGATTTGGGTCTGGATGGGCCTCTGTAGCCACAGGAAAAGAGAAATGGAGGGAACTTAGAAACTTGGAAGGAAATAAGAATGCATATCTTATGGACAAATAGAAAGAACCAAAACTTTTATCCCTCCTAAACAGTTTTGCTGATGGCCAGCCTTATGCAAAAGGATTTGAGCTAGTCATCTGTATCATTTTGGCCAGGCTTTTTATTTTAGGACTAGGCTATTATTTTTTTATTTATTTTCATCAACCCTGAATTCATTCTGATTGCCTCTGTAAATCAGGAAAAAACAAAGGGCTAAGTGTATGGTGGTGTTGCAGAGACTGGCTTTATGTTGATATCGTTTAAATAAGATTCTGGAGTGTGTTGAACACACAAGGTGTAGAGGATGAAGAGCAGGTTTGCTAAATGAGAGTGATGTAACAGCAAATGGACAACACTTAACAATTTCAAGGTTTTATGAACGTGCTCTCCTGTCTTACTCCAAGATCGTTTGTGAGCATTCCCTTGCTCTTTTCAGTTTAGTTTTTGTGAATTATACACAACAGTTAGGTAATTCTCTGTTGCTCTTTTGAATTCTTAGATGACTGTGTCATCTGCCTGGTTTTCCCAAATGTCATTTTGGATTCCTCTCTCCCAGTGATCTCAAAGTCCTGTCCCCTAGGAGATCCCCTGCCACTCCTCTCTTCTGGTCCACAATCATCCATTGTCCGGATTACGACAGCCACCCGATTATTTTCCCTAATTCTCCAATCTGGTCTCCACACCACAGCTAAGGCAATCTTTACAAAATCTTTATAAAACCTCCTGCTCAAAACTTTCTCCTGGCTCTCAAGTATTCTTAGAGCAAAATCCAAATTCCTTAATTTACAAAAAACCTAATGTTTTAGCCCCACTGACCTCTCCAGCCTCATGTCTGTTCCCATCCTTCCTGCCTCACTGACTGTGCTCCAGCTATGCTGAGAGCTTTCAGTTCCTTCCTTCCTGGACCTTTGCGCAGCTTGTTCCCTCTGCCAGGAAAGCTCTCTCCACCACCTCCCTCTTCACATGGAAAATCCCATCTCATCCTCAGCCTCGTCTCACTTCCCCCGGGCAGCATCCCTGACTCCTGGACAAGAAGTGTGAAGCTCCCCCTGCTGTGAGCGCGTAGCACCCTGCATTCCCCCCTCACCACACTGAATTGTAATGGCCTGTTTACTTGTCTGTGTCCCTCACTAGACTTTAGGCTCCTTGAAGGCAGGGACCATGTCTGGTGCACCAGTTGTATCCACAGCACCTAGCACAATGCCTGGCACATGGTAGGTGTTAAGTGAATACTCACTCAATTCATAAGCACGTGAATGAATATAGGTTTTACCCTTGCAGGTAGTAGGTAAAGTTGGTGAGACTGAATCCCTGTTCTGTTGCTTATCCATGAAGTCTATACATTTCTAGTGACAAAAGTCACAGTGGGTACCCCACACGAGGGATCTGACACACTGCTATTAGTAACTGTGGTTCACTAATTCTGTGGTTCCCTGGGGTACAAGGAGGGTAGAGAAGGCAGTACTATTTGAATAAAAGTCCTCCCCCAGACTCTGCCCAAAAGGATCTCCTTCATCCTTAGGAATCAATGGAATACGCATTTACATTCTTTAACAGGAACTGCAAAAAAATGAACGCAGTTTTTTGAAGTACATAGATATTTGTTTGACTATAAATTTAGAAATGTTGATCAAATGGGCCTAATGTTTGATCTACAAAGTACTTTGCAATCACCAGGAATTTATCTTTAACTGACTTGAACCACAATTTATTCCATGAGACAATCATACAAACTCTCTGCTGGGATTATGTTAATAAAAACTTTACATCCCATCTGGATTGGATGTGATTATAGGTGAGCCAAATTAAAATAAAATAAAAATACATTTAAATACAGCACTTATTTAAGATCTCTCTATGCTTCAGAAAATAGAAGATAATATGAAGAGGTCACCTTTCTCTACATTAACTAAACCAGCACATAATGGTACAAACAGAAAGAAATAATCATTGAAAACACTGTGCAGAGTTGAAATGCAATTTAAATCCTCAGCGAACTTAAGCTTCGTTAACAGTGAAGATTGTCACTCAAAGCTTAAGCTATAAAAGTTTTGGGAGTTTCATCTGATGGTTTAGATGGTTAGACCATAAAGAATTACTCCAACTGACAATGTGTATAGCATTTATTGTGGAACCACAATAAATATAAAACATAGTAGCCAATGCCATTCAAGCTTAAAAATCTAATGGGCGTAAATTTTAAAGAACCAAATGAGGTTGACACTTCTTTTTGTTTGGAACAACATATAGAAATTGCATGCCTGCAATGAGTATACTGACAACAGTAGAATTTTTATAACCTGAAAAGCAACTAAATGCTTTTAAACTGTAGAAAACAAGAACTTTAAAAGTTGTTCACCCCAGGCTGCCTTTAAATAAGAATCGTGTGTGATTTATAATTTTAGATTTTCTTAAGCACCTCTTCTTGCACTGATGACACGTTAGTTTTAAGCACAGGTTTGCTGGGTTTTTCAAAATGAGAAGAGACCAAAAGAGGTGAGAAAGATGCACAGCAGACTCTCTGCTCTTTTGTTGTCTTTTATAAGCAAATAGAGCAAAGCGTGATCGTGCTTCCTAAGTGAGTTTCTGAGTGTCAATATTCGTGTCGAACTTCAGT